GCAAACACTTTAACCACTAGGCTACCCCACCGCCCCAAACTGTTGAATAAATATACAGAGGAGCTAAAGTGCTGTGTCACTATTTGTTTTAGCTTTGTCTACTTTGTCTAAACAATTTGTTTGTTTTTTTAGAATAATCTATGACCACAATGTACAATTTATGTAACACTAAAAACACACCTTTGTTCCGCCACATTCTTGTTCATAAACCTGTTACCCCAAGCAGCACTATGTTTCCTACTGAGATTACAATGCATGTTGCATTCACATTCTCATGCTGACTTGTTCCTGGCTCCAGTGGCATTATGTTTATTATGTGTAAATATCAATTCAAATCTATTTTTAGCCAATAGCCATGTTTGGAGTGCCCTTTTGTTAAATGCCTGATTTATCACAAGGTAATAAATACCATATTTATTGATTTCTACAATAACAAATACTCACCATGCCCAGAAACCGATAAAAAAATAGAAAAGAAAATAATCTGATCTCACACCTTTAACTCAAAACGTTTTTCCCGACCACACTTCTGTCAACTTATTATATATAAATTGCCTTGCTCCCAAATACCCTGAAGGTGCATATGCCCTAATCCATGGCGTGATCCCGCCAAGGCAGGGGGGCCTTTGTATAAATGACAGCAGTAGACTATGTAATCCATATGTTGAACCATGCTGACATAAATACATCACCTTCATGAGGGAATTGACGCAACAGGTGTATGACAAAGCTCTACCTTAGTGACAGGAACATTTCATTAACTTCGGCTGCTAATGTAATACATCTTGATTCTCAGGGATAAATCTTCAGTGTAAATATTATTGATCAGGTCAGAGAGTTGACAAATGTTATAATGATTGAACACTTGAGGTTAAATCTGTGAAAGTGCGAGTTTTGAGGATCATATATTCAGTGTCAGTAATGTGTGTCTTACCAAAAGGAAAACTAAAATCTTTAGTGATTTGCATAAAAGTATATTTTCATAGTTCCTCAATATCTAAGAGAGAATGAGTTGGGTTTTTAATACCACTTTGAACAGTATTCAAGTTATTTCACGGTGTGTCAGCTTAATGTGGGAGGAAATCCCAAAGAGATGCAGGTCTCAGAAGTTTACCTCTTTGTGAAACCCTCGAGCATGGGTATGGTGCTGACAAACCTAGAAACATAATTGAGGTGAACCAGGATTCTAACTCCAATCTTAGGTTTCTGGCGTGCCCAAGGGATGCAACTCTGCACAGCAAGTGCACTGCCTTGATGACTGGGCCACCCATGCCCCCATTATGTAGGAAGGCTTCCTGACACCACTGTATTGATCTCTTGTCACGGACAATGTTAAGTGTATATTATTACCCATATGGGCTCAAATATGCAGTGTAATAACTTTTTGATATTTGCACAGTGTGCAATTAGTGATTCTCGAAGCTGATTGGTCAGTGGAACAAAGATTAATTTTCATTGGACAACGGAACTATTTTTTTCTCATCCCATTCATTCACAAATCCACGCCTTTCCCTTCAGATGTTTTACGTGCTACAATCTCACTGATTCGAGATTTTTAAGACAAGACACATAGTTTCATATTAACAACATGATTTCACATTATCATTTTTTTTCATTTATTTCACATGATTTTCATTTTACAGTAAAAACCAAAACTACTTCCCCGTTTGTAAACAAACATGGCTGGCCCATTTGAGACCTGTCAAAGTAAATGACCTCGTTAAAGCGGACGGATATCTGACTGACATGAAAAGTTATTCGTATAATTCAACCTCTGAACACATTTAATGTCTTTGTTGTCAAAACTGCATATGGCCAGATTGAAGTTCCAAGATTCAGATTGTGATGTTGCCAGAAACTGTTTCTAGGGCACCAAGATCATCACCACCAAGTCCTGGTTTGCATCTGTGTTAGAGAGCTTGCTGTTTCATGAATTTTTTGACCACCCGGATCCAAAAACCGGACTTTGTATAGACAGGTTTGCCTTTGTGAACGATGATGACATCGATAACTGCCAATGAAAATGAAAACACAATGAAAAAGTCTAAACTTGACAAGTTGACATGAATTTAGTTCACAAATGTATAAAGGTAAGAAAAGCACGAAAAATATGACTACTCACACTTTCAACGATAGCATGAGAATAAAAACAAATTCATTTTGCCAGACATTTAGACTTTCCGAAAGACATCATAAAGATACACTATTTCGTACAATTTTGTAACGTTTTGTGAAGAAATAAGGACGTGACACTTGTTTATACAATGTATACGTTTTTCGTAACCGCGACGTCTGCAAAATAGATTCTACGGCGCTGAGCAGTATGCAGGCTGACTGACGTCCGCTGACCACAGGAAAGGTGCAACTAAACATTATTATTTACAAATTTATCATTTCGACATGCACATCAGACAGTTCAGAATTCGAGTGTTACCTTAGCGACATGATTACCAGCATCTGGTTGCGAAATCGATGCACATTGCTGAACTCGGAGGTTTTGAAATCAAAACAAAAATAATTAAAAATACAAGGAAAAGAAAACTTACCCCAGCGAGCTGATCCTGTGTCCGATATTGAACTAAATGAACTCCGTGAATGCGGACAGCTTAGCACCAAGTCTCCAGATACCGTGTTTGTCTATCAACAGGTATTCGACCATTATGAATCACATCAAAATATCAACAAACTCCCGTCATCTGACTGTGTCCACTCTGCGTTTGACAAATCCTCCTGAAATCCCACATGCACATGTTTCCCATCAGTGACACTTGTCTCAAATCATACACGATGTTAATTAAACTTGTTGTCCGGATTAAACTGTAACCGGTTCTCTTGTCATTCCCGGTTTCGGCTGTCTCATATCTTGGTCATGTCGGGTCATTCATTCCGACACTGAGACAGCAATCATACTTTTCAAAGTTTACCTTCTTTTCGTAACTTTTCTCTAACAAACAAGACTTCTGTACATTCCATCTATGTTGTTGTTATAGGTTTTGGCATTTTTGTCAAATGACACATAAAAAATTTGACAGGTTTTCCGTGTTTCCTCTTCTCAATGTGAAATGCATGTATCTGCCGATGCACGACGGGGGCTGTCTGTCAGTGACGAGATCTTGTCAAAACAAGCTTTGATTAAAAAACCTGATGAACCTTTTTGGAAACCTGTCTTCTTTATCAATGCTAGATAGTGTACGCTGTGTAAATCGGACAGAAATATAACTGCAATAATTTAATCTTTTAATTACAATTTTTAACAGAACTATATTTTTCACGCGTAACAACATGTTAATTGAGAAATGCGGTTGGAATGAGTGGACAGTATTTATTCACACGCGGATTGACACAAAACAGCTGATTCTTGATCGGCGACAGTTGATTGTTTTTTCTTGAAACATGTCTTTAATATGAATATGGGTAATAAATAGAATAACCCACGAGGTACGAGTGATTACGGAAAATATGTCACTCGTGAAATTAATGTTTTAAGTTCCTCGCTAAAGCTCGGAACTTAAAACATTAATTTCACTTGTGACATATTTTCCGTAATCACTCGTACCTCGTGGGTTATTCTATAATTAATGTATGCCAGTGAGGCCATGTTGATGTACTGAATTTTCGATTCTTGCAATCATCATAATTTATTACCTTCCTTAACTTTCGACAATGCCTGCTGTGCTTAATTTCTGTTCTGACGTAAACTGCAAAAGAAAGTATATGCTTGAAAATTGAATTTAACCAAAAAATAACAAATATTATGGAAATGTTTCTAGGCTGAAAACAGTTGCCGAAACACTGCAAACTTAAGGTCCAAAACTCAATGATACCTGTATCAAATACGTCTCCATAGAATAACCATTTCTTGTTTCATTTTTAGCCACCATCAAACATGGATGTATACTTTCTTTTGCCTGGCAGTGTATTTGACGAGCTTATTGAATACATTTTAGAATAAATATTTTTTTGTGACATTTTAAATGTATTTGAATTGATCAAAATCTTTTCAGATACATTTGTCAGGCATAAAGACTACATTCAGCTTAAATCTATTCCTGAATTTGGCCGATGGGGTAGCCTAGTGGTTAAAGGGTTCTTTCAATACACAGAAGACCCGGGTTTGATTCCCAACATGGGTATGATGTGTGTTCAAGCCCATTTCTGGACCTCTGACATGAAATTGCTGGAATATTGCTGAAAGTGTCATAAAACTCACTCACTCAACATTTCTGAATGAATTTTATGGACAGTTAAAAGTTTGATTAAAATCTTTTCTGATGTATTTGTCAAGCACACTTTTCTACATTTAGCTGCAAATATATTTGTAAATTGTTTATTGGACTGTTCACACTTATCTGTTGCACGTTTAATCTTGATCAACAATTTCCTTAACATTGTCATGAAGTGAGCAGTCGATCGCAGATCAGAGAGTTCGTTCCTGCATAGATCACAAAAGTGCAGCTAATCATTTGCCATATTTGATCCTAATCATGTGTGACCAATCACATCCATTGTCCTCACACAATTCTATCATGTATCTATTTCAAAGATATACTGACTGTTCCACGCCATTAAACCCTCGCCTTTTCTCTAAACCTTTGGGTAACACACCTGAGCCATTATCTCAACAGCCAGTGATAGGTTTCACTGATAGACCGCAGAGTATCGGCCTTTTGAATCCCAAGTTCATAAGGTCTCTGTAATAATCCCTACACAAATACCTTCTGGCACCAAGATGACCTCCAGTAAATTTAATTCATGTTATGTCGCTTAATGTTCCATAAAATACAACAGTCTTTAATTTAAAGTGACATGAATCAAGTTGTCAGTTTTTCTGGCAGGGGATTAAAAAATGTTATCGAAAGAAACCCCAATGTTTGCTGTGTGAAATAACACTCACCGGAGTGGTAAGTCTACCAAACAAGGTAGTAAATGCATGTTCCATGATAAGAGTCCATTAGGTTGGATGTTTGAATGACTTCCAGTCATTGATGTGCTGATGTTTTGTCCAAAGGAATAATATGAAAGGAGAGAGTATTTGCAGTGATATTGGCTGGTTTATGGAACAATGACAGTGTTTGTGTCCACATGTTACTTGTGAACGGGGAATACTGGAGAGAAGTGGCATGTTGATCTCATCACTGACCTTGGTCAGTTGTGGTTATTTCCAGAGAAGTTTGTGAAAATTTGGACTGTTCCAGATGGATGGCAAATGATTGGTTCATTAAACCTCATTCGTTAAGATCGTGGGGTAGTGTTGTGTTTCATGTCTTATCTGGCAAAGAAATGACAAACCTTGAACAGAATGCATTCATGCAGTTTGAGGATTTGTGGACAAGACCAAAACTCCACTGAAAATGAATCCATATAAACAGATAACGGAATATACGGACAGGAATGGAACCATTCAAACCACATGTTCAACAAGGATTAATTTGATCATTGTTACAATGAAGAAGATTTGATCATTTTGTATTAAGGCAGATAGTTGTCAGAATAAATAATGATGAAGAAAGTTAAGAGACTGTCTTTGGCTCGAGCTGTCCATTTTGCTGAACCAGAAGCGATATCCCCAAGATCTGTAAGATCAGATCCAGTTCTGTCTGTGCGTCTGCCACCACTGCAGACGTCTGCCCAAGATGTCTGTAACAGGTCTACAGACGGGAAACAGTTGGAAGAGCACTTCGGGGAGGACTTTTACGTGTCTGATGATGACGCCCACTGTGCTGCTTCCCCATCTGAAGCACCCCTCAGTGCACTGGACCTTGTCCGCAAACATTTCAGTCACATCAAGTCATTCCTGGAGATGAATTTTGACCAGGAATCTGACGACGGGTGAGTAAGAACTAAAACAAGACAAGGGAGATAATGCTGTGATTACTGGCATGGGTGTCTCAGAACATCTAAGGCACCAACGCAGAGTTGTGTCCCTTAGGTGTGCCAGGAACCTATAGTTATAGGTTCGAATCCCAGTTCGCATGGATTATATTTTTTTGTTTGACAGTACCATTCCTGTGCTAGGGTTTCAACAAAGTAAAAAACATTGAAGACCTGCATCACTTTGGGTTTTTCTCCTACATCTTGCTAACATGCCATGGTATAACTGAAGTACTGTTTAATGTGGTGTAAAACCCAACTCACTTGCTTACTCACTCACTAAGGAAAAGAAAATAGTCTTGGTTCTCAGACACTGCCTGCATCATCATAAAGTCTCCCGCACATTTTGTTTTTATTTCCATTTTAATTTTTTTTTTTTAAAAAACCCTAATACTTGCATGAGACAATGCGATGAAATATAGCATGCAGTTACTTCCCTTTACTGCACATCGTGTGTTATGGTCATTGCGGCAATAGGAGTTTTTATGCTTGTTTATGTAGGGAGGCCCTTTCCCAGGTTGATGGTACACAACTGTTTAATTGGTTACATACTAGTTTGAACAACAACAAAAAAACAACCCATCACCGCCCACACTATATTTTCAAAAGTCATTGCCTGAGAACCAATTCATTTATTTTTTTAAGCCTAATGCTATGATCATTTTAATCAGATTCATATTAAATACCAAACATGTAGCTCTTAGTATCATGCAGGACACTAACTGTCAGTGTTTGTTCACAATTCCTTAAATTTCAATCACATATTTGTTATAAATACAGTGAATGTTTTGCTGAATACAGTGATGTTTTGCTCAGTACAGTGAATGTTTTGCTGAATAGTGATGTTTTGCTCAGTACAGTGAATGTTTTGCTGAATACAGTGATGTTTTGCTCAATACAGTGAATGTTTTGCTCAATACAGTGATGTTTTGCTCAGTACAGTGAATGTTTTGCTGAATACAGTGATGTTTTGCTCAGTACAGTGAATGTTTTGCTCAATACAGTGAATGTATTGCTCAGTACAGTGAATGTTTGCTCAATACAGTGAATGTTTTGCTCAGTACAGTGAATGTTTGCTCAATACAGTGAGTGTTTTACTCAGTACAGTGAATGTTCTCTCAATACAGTGAATGATTGCTCAGTACAGTGAATGATTGCTCAATACAGTGAATGTTTTGCTCAGTACAGTGAATGTTTGCTCAATACAGTGAGTGTTTTACTCAGTACAGTGAATGTTCTCTCAATACAGTGAATGATTGCTCAGTACAGTGAATGATTGCTCAATACAGTGAATGTTTTGCTCAGTACAGTGAATGTTTGCTCAATACAATGAGTGTTTTACTCAGTACAGTGAATGTTCTCTCAATACAGTGAATGATTGCTCAGTACAGTGAATGATTGCTCAGTACAGTGAATGTTTGCTCAATACAGTGAATGTTTTGCTCAATACAGTGAATGATTGCTCAGTACAGTGAATGTTTTGCTCAATACAGTGAATGTTTGCTCAATACAGTGAATGTTTTGCTCAGTACAGTGAATGTTTTGCTCAATACAGTGAATGTTTTGCTCAATACAGTGAATGTTTGCTCAATACAGTGAATGTTTGCTCAATACAGTGAATGTTTTGCTCAATACAGTGAATGTTTGCTCAATACAGTGAATGTTTGCTCAATACAGTGAATGTTTTGCTCAATACAGTGAATGATTGCTCAGTACAGTGAATGTTTGCTCAATACAGTGAATGTTTTGCTCAATACAGTGAATGTTTGCTCAATACAGTGAATGTTTTGCTCAATACAGTGAATGTTTGCTCAATACAGTGAATGTTTTGCTCAATACAGTGAATGTTTTGCTCAGTACAGTGAATGTTTGCTCAATACATTGAATGTTTGCTCAGTACAGTGAATGTTTGCTCAATACAGTGAATGTGTTGCTGAGTACAGTGAATGTTTTGCTCAATACAGTGAATGTTTTGCTCAGTACAGTGAATGTTTTGCTCAGTACAGTGAATGTTTTGCTCAATACAGTGAATGTTTGCTCACTATGAATAATGGTCAGGGGGAGCTCCTGGTGTGGGGTGGGTGAGGAATGATAGAAATAGACGGGCAGTTCTTATTATGTATAAACTTTCAGAATCTTCTCAGATCTGTTCATGGCATCAAAATGAAACCAGTTGTTTATGAATGGTTATTCAAAATGTGAATAGTTTGAATGTTTCATCGCAGAAACCAAATGGTTTACAATAACTTCTCAATATATTTTGTGTCAATAGTAATGAAAGAGTTTAACAACCATTATTTTAAAAAATAGCATTCCTTTTTGGTGAATATGTCTTTTGATTCATTATTTATTAAGATGGAAGTACAAGCAATTCATACAAGCAGAGAGTTGTTTATTCTTCTACTTTGACCTATTAGATTGGTGTACAGATCCTATTTACTGAGCAGCTTAGTGTATCTTAGCTGTACAGCTGATAGGCCATGATTTGCAATGATATATATAGTTGATATACTCACTGTTAACAATGGTTGGAGGGTTACAAAACAGGGTCCAGTTATTTGTGCCTTATCTCTTATCAACAGTTAAGTTTCTAGACACAAAAAAGTAAGTTCAAATTTCACTCATTCACTGACAAAATTGCACAAATAAATGATATTTGGTACACTCTAAACTGTGCATTTCAATGAAGGATGTTCGAAATCGTTTGAAAGATAATGTTCAGTTAACTTTGATAAAGTTATATAGTCCTACCAGTTTCAACAATGAAGTATTGATTAAATTTCATGGTGTTTCCATTTCATAAATACACTTTGTACTCCTATAGATTTATTGATAAAATGTATGTTTTTAAAATCTGAACTGTGTATTTTTGCCTTCATGTCCAAATACCAGTACAAGTAGAAAAACTGAAATAAAATTGTTTGCATAAGAGCATGTTAATAGCCATAGGCTGATAACCTCATCAATCACGTTGTCACAGGATTGTGATGTATGACAGGTGAAATAGGTTCTTGGCCAGTAATTGATGGTAATGTTTGCATTCTGTAAACAAAGCAACATGGCGTGTAGATATCAATAAAAGCTGTCCGAGCCAACACAATGTGATATTTGTCCAGGCATTGATTTCAACAGTGTTAACAGTTTTGCAACATGGAAACATTGAGAATTAATCTCAACACAGATAACATATCATGCATGCTCTTGTTATACAGAGATGTTTGGTAATATTTTATCATACATGCGAAGGATATAAGAAGAGTTTGTTATATTATCTCTAATCACAATCGCCTCCAGGGTGTAGTGGATAGAGTGTCTGCACAGAGGGCAGAAGGTTGGCGGTTCGATCCCGGACGCATCATACCAAAAGATGTCAAAAGGTGGTATTTGTTGTTACCTTGCCTGATGCACGGCATTAAGGGGCTAAAAAGGGATTGGTCATCTTGGATTTAGTGTAATGTGTCGTAGAGGGTATCCATGTTAAATTGTGGCATGGTGTCTCAGTAGAGCCTTGTGTAAGGCCATGTCAGTAGAGCCTTGTGTAAGGCCCTGTCAGTAGAGCCATGTGTAAGGCCATGTCAGTAGAGCCTTGTGTAAGGCCCTGTCAGTAGAGCCATGTGTAAGGCCATGTCAGTAGAGCCATGTGTAAGGCCCTGTCAGTAGAGCCTTGTGTAAGACCATGTCAGTAGAGCCTTGTGTAAGGCCCTGTCAGTAGAGCCATGTGTAAGGCCATGTCAGTAGAGCCTTGTGTAAGGCCCCATCAGTAGAGCCTTGTGTAAGGCCATGTCAGTAGAGCCATGTGTAAGGCCATGTCAGTAGAGCCTTGTGTAAGTCCATGTCAGTAGAGCCATGTCAGTAGAGCCTTGTGTAAGGCCATGTCAGTAGAGCCATGTCAAATGTCAAGGAACTGTAGGATTTTTACATTTAGGTCAAACCATTATTTAAGTGTTTGATTGATGAGTGAGTGGGTGAATTGGGTTTAACGCTGCTTTGGAAAGTATTCTAGTAATTTCTCAGCGTGTCAGCTTAATCTGGGAGGAAAGCCCGAAGTGATGCAGATCTTAAACGTTTACCCCTTTGGTGAAAAACAAGAGCATTGGTTTGTTGCTGACAAACTTAGAAACATAATTGGGGTGGATTTGTTTGATGGAGCCTGCCCTAGATTCTTAGATGCTTCATCATACCTCCATGTCAGAATGATGAAGTCTGATTGGTTCATGTGATCTTGAAAAATACTATGTATCCCACCTGTGAGGGAAATATATTTCTGAGCAGGAGAATAAATCCCTTATACCCCGCCATGAAGAACACAGGCTGCACATGGATTTCTAAGTGGGAGAATAAATCCCTTAAACCCAGCCTCGAAGCAAAAAGCTGCACGTGGTTTACGAATCAATGAACGTCACATGACAGAGCACAAGTTAACCTCAGTCCAAACAAGCAGTTTTCTACAAATTATGCATTTATTTATTTTCTTTTACAATGGCAGATTAAAACATGTTGGTAAGATAGATTTGTTGTAGCTGTATCACGAGGGGTGCCGGTACATGTGGTGTTATGAGTCCCTCGTTAGGCTTTACACCATTCAAACAGATACAAAATAACGGTATGTCTCTTTATCCATTTCCCACAAAAAATTAAAATGCTTATAGTTCGTTGTAAATCAGTAACTTGGTTAAAAAAAATGTATGTTTGTTTGTTGTGTAACACCACACTCAGCAATATCCCAGCTATATGATGGCAGCCTGAAAATAATTGTGTCTGGACCAGACAATCCAGTGAAAACTATTATGACCAGCATCCCATACAGTCAGAGTATGATGGCACACAATCAATATTGATATTGTTATTAGGAATATATAAATAAATATAAACATAATCTCAATGAAGTATTCAAAAGCTTAACCTAATGAAAATAAAGTGGTATAGGTTTATGTAAGTAATTGATAAAAATGTCCACC